AGTTTTGACCCGGGGCCCCGTCCGGGCCTTTTCCCCCTTGGGTTCCCCCTTTGCCATGGGCCACTTTGAGGTTTTCCCCACACTCCTGCGGTTTTTTAAATTTTGGTATAGGTTGCTGGAGAATTTTTAAAAGGGCCCCCATCGGTTTCCGCCCCGGCCCCAAAACGGCCCTGGGGCCCCCCTACCACCTTGGTCACGCTGCTGCGGGGGCCCCAGTGTGCCTTTGGGGCCCCGTACCCCCTCCCCTTTCTCCCCCCTCTGCCAAAGTGCCCTTTTAGGGTTTCCCCACAAATCCCCCGGTTTTCCAAATTTTTTCATAGGTTTTTGGCCGGGTTAAAGGCCTCCCATAGGTGCCGGCCCGGGCCCCCAAAAGGCCATGGGCCCCCGTACGCCCCGGTCACGGGGGAGCGGGCCCCCAGTGTGGGCCCGGGTCCCTTTTAGCCTCCCATTTCTTCCCCTTCCCATGTGCCACTTTTAGGGTTTTCCCCCACACTCCCGCCCGGTTTTTTTATTTTGTTTAGGTTTTTCTGGCAATTTTAAAAGGGCCCCCCATAGGGGGGCCCAGGCCCCAAATCGGCCCTGGGCCCCCGTAACGCCTGGTCCGCTGCTTTCTTTGGCCCACCGGGGGACCTGGGGCCCCGTACCCACCCCTTGCTTCCCCCTCGCCCTGGGGCCACTTTGAGGGGGTTTCCCCACCCCCTCCTGGGGGGTTTTTTCCCTTTTGTCTTTGGTTGGGTGGCAGATTAAAAAGGGCCCCCATTGGTTTCCGCCAGGCCCAAATTTGGCAATTTGGGGCCCCGTTTTCCGCTGGTCACGCTGGCTGGGGGGCCCAGTGGGACCCGGGGGCCCTTGGGCGGGGCCTTCCCCTTGGGTCCCATCTCCAAAGTGCCATTTAAGGGGTTCCCAACTTCCCGCGGGTTTTCCCTTTTTTTATAAAGGGTTTTGGGAGAAATTTTTAAAAGGCCTCCCCTAGGTGCCGCCAAGGCCCCCAAACGGCCCTGGGCCCCCCTAACCCCCTGGGTTTACCGCTGCTTGCCTGAAGGGGGCCGGGGGTGACCTGGGTCCCCGGGACCCGGGTTTTCCCATTGCTTTTCCCCTTCACCATGTGCCACTTTGAGGTTTCCTTTAACCCTTTCGGTTTTTCCCTTTTTGTTTTTAGGTTTTTGGGAGGTTAAAAGGGCCCCCCAAAAGGTGCCGCCGGGCCCCCCCAAAACGGCCCGGGCCCCGTACGCCTGGTCACGTGTGTGGGCCCCCAGTGTTTACCTGGGGCCCCGTACCGGGGCCCCCCATTGCTTCCCCCCTTCCCTGTGCCAATTTTGGGGCTTTCAAAACTCCGCGGTTTTTTCCTTTTTTTTAGGTTGGGTGGCAGATTTAAAAAACCTCCCCCTAGGTGCCCCCCAGGCCCAAAAACGGGCCCCTGGGGGCCCCCATTTCCCCCTGGGGCAGGTGGTGTTGGTCCCCCGTGTGGGCCGGGTTTTCCCTTTTACCGGGCCTCCCCTTGGCAGAATTAGTCGGCCTCCCATAGAGTGCCGCAGGACCCAAAATCGGCCATGGCCCCCGTACCGCCTGAGTCACGCTGCTGCTGGTACCACAGTGTGACCTGGGTCCCTGTAACGGCCGTGCCATTGTTGCTCCCACTCTGCCATGTGCCACTTTGAGGTCTCCTCACACTCCCTGCGCGTGTTTTTTTCCAGATTTTGTCATAGGTTGCTGGCAGCAGATTACAGGCCTTCCATAGGTGTGCCGCCAGGCCCCAAATCTGCCAATGTGGGCCCCCAGTACCCGCTCTGGTCAACTCAGAGCTGCTGCAGCTCGGGCCCAACAGTGTGTGAGTACCTGGGTCCCTGTACGACCAATACCAGTCGCCTCCCATTGCTCCCACTCTGGCCATTGTCCCACTTTGAGGTCTTCCTCACAACTCATTGCCGCGTTTTTTCCATTTTGTCATAGGTTGCTGGCAGATGGGCCCCCGTACCGCCTGGTCACGCTGCTGCTGAGCCCACAGTGTGACCTGGGTCCCTGTACCGCCTCCCATTGCTCCCACTCTGCCATGTGCCACTTTGAGGTCTCCTCACACTGCTGTGTGTGTTCAATTTTTTGACATAGGGTGCTGGCAGATTATGGGGCCTTCCCATTGCTGCTGCCAGGCACGTAATCTGCCATGGGCCCCCGTACCGACTCCTCATGCTGTGACGTTGCAACAAGGTGGAATTCAACACTACATATGTTAGACCGCCTTTACGAACAGCGAAAGGCCATCACAGATTTCCTGATGTTAAAAGCGGATAAAGGTACTCCCTGTGTAACTTCGATGTCAGCCATTGTCAGCTCATGCGTGACACCTGCGCTTGCTCAGGCCCTTTGAGGAGGCCACGCTATTCGTGAGTCGGCAGGACTATGGGATGAACGAGGTCAAATCGGCCATGGGCCCCCCGTACCGCCTGGTCACGCTGCTGCTGGTCCCACAGTGTGACCTGGGTCCCTGTACCGCCTCCCATTGCTCCCACTCTGCCATGTGCCACTTTGAGGTCTCCTCACACTCCTGCGGTTTTCCATTTTGTCATAGGTTGCTGGCAGGTTACAGGCCTCCCATAGGTGCTGCCAGGCCCCAAATCTGCCATGGCCCCCGTACCGCCTGGTCACGCTGCTGCTGGTCCCACAGTGTGACCTGGGTCCCTGTACCGCCTCCCATTGCTCCCACTCTGCCATGTGCCACTTTGAGGTCTCCTCACACTCCTGCTGGTTTCCATTTTGTCATAGGGTGCTGTATGGCCTCCCATTGCTGCTGCCTCCACCGCCACACTGTGGCTCCAAACACTGGTTTTGGCCCCGTGACTGGCCAAATGAGTGAAGTGTGCGGTGATTCTAAGATCGACGGCACTCATCTGCATGTCATACTGACTGACAGTATTATTTCTCTTCCCCAGCAGACTCCAAGGGCATTTAAAGTAAAGGTACAGTGTTCTGCACTAATATTAAGTCTCTCTGAAGCCTAGAAACACCCTTTTTTAAGTTAAATTCACAGCGAATATATTCGACTCGAATCGAATATTGTCCACGAATTCGCCGAATCAGTCGAATCGAATTTTTCAATACTTCGCTCATCTCTACTCATGACCTAAAAATAACTGAGATGCTCAGGTTTTCATTCAAATGTAATGACTACAAAATACTTTCACAGATTTCAGTATCCAAATGTCATGCAAAGCATGAAGCAAACAAATCTATATGTAATATTTCGGCAGGGCTATCATATCTCACAGAGCAGCTGGAGTCAAACTTTAAAAACCCTCTGCCACATTTTTTTGGAGAGACCGGATAATCTGTTAACAGTAACTGTTAACTTGAAGAAAACATGCATTCCGCTTTTTTTATTTCTCTATCAATCGTTGTGTTTACTTTAATCTTCATTGGGTTCTTTCTAAATGGATTCATTTTTATGAAAAACTTCATGTGCTGGTTACAAGGTAAACAAATTAAAAGCTATTGACATACTCATGGCCAGCCTGGGCTTGGTGAGGATTATTCTTCTCGTGTATTTAGCATTAACAAATTTATTGTTGATTTCTGTTGAGTTAAGGAATTCAGTTAAGATGCATTTAGGCTACATTGTCACCACACATGTATTTGTAGATTTCTGCAGCGTGTGGTGGGGCACTGTGCTCTGTGTCTTCTATTGTGTGAAGATCACCAACTACAGCAACAGATTCTTCCTAAAACTCAAGATGAGAATCTCCGGGATGGTCCCCTGGCTTCTTCTGGGGTCAATGATGGTGTCTCTTCTTTGTAGTCTTCCATATGGATGGTGTGTATATTCATTTCACAAGGTAAATTCCACCCATATTTACAATGGAGCAAGCTTTGAAGATATAAATGCAGACACAAACTATGTCAGTCTACGCATTATTATGATTGCTGGAGCTTTTGGCCCATTTCTCATCTTTTGTGTAGCCACTTTCTTTTTGGTGGTCCCGCTTTTCAAGCACACCCGAAATATGAACAATAATAACACTGGATTTACAAAAGCTCAATTTGATGTTCTTTCAAGTGCTATTAGGAATATGTTCTCATTTTTAATCTTTTATATCATCTATTTTATGAATAGCATGTTGTTTTCATTAACTTTGCAGCTAAACAATGTCCTTTTGGCTTTAGTATGCCTTATTTTCCTGACTGTCTACCCAAGCCTGCACTCTGTTGTGTTAATCATCTGCAATGCAAAATTGAAACAATCCGTTATTGATGCTCTCTGCTGCTTTAAGTAAAGTCATTCACATCAACACATTATATATTAGCAAAGCTATTAGCTTATAGGGTGGCACAGTGGCTTAGTGGCTAGCACTTCTGCCTTGCAGTAATTGGGTCATGGGTTCAATTCAATTCCCAACCATGGTGCCCCCTGCATAGAGTTTGCATGTTCACATGGGTTTCCTCTCACACTCCAAAGACATTCTGGTAGGTTAATTGGCTCCTATCTAAATTGTCCTAGTTTTATCCCTGGCCATCTGGGATCTCCTGCATGGTAGGGGTTGGGGAAAGACCTGGCAACCTCCCCTGTAAAATAATTGCTAAGATAATTCATGGAAAAAGTCACTTACAAGTGACAGTCAATGCAATCACCAAGGGTTGGATACAACTGAAAAGATAGATTGGCTTATAAATGGACTGTAAGTACAATATTATGTTTTATGTGGACATTAAAGATACCTCACCAGGTTCTTAGAACTATGAAATAATTTTCCTAACAATTGCATGATCTGTGTTTCCACCAGAATACAGACAGATTTAGAGGTAGGAGGAAATAACCAAAGCCCAGCCAAGACCATCTCACACGACTATTGCAGATGACCTTCCAAAGCCAGAGTATGCTATCCTGAATTGTAACATTTGCTTGTGGGCATGTTAAATCTAACCCAGGGGCGGACTGACCATTTGGAAACTCGGGCACTGCCCGAGGGCCCAGGGTCAGTAGGAGGCCCCATGAGATGCCCCTGGTACCTTTTTCAAAGGCTTTTTGAGTTTGGGCAAGAACACAGGGGCCCCATGATCCCCTATTGCCCGGGGGCCCCATGAGTTGTCAGTCCACCCCTGATCTAACCCAAAAAAGCTAAATAGTATTGATATTAATGTCAATTAATCTCTTGAAAAACATTGACTTAGATATGTTAAACAGTACATTTGGCCATTTTGTAGCATTTCAAATATATGTCAAAATATTTGGGAAGAATATTTTTAAAATATATTTCAAATATATTTTTCTTCCATATGGGTAACCCCTTTTAATATTTTGTTGTTAGCTAACTTCTTTTCTCAGTAAACCTTTTTAAAGTATATGTTTGTTTCATTTCGTTTCATTTTTGCAACACTGTGTAAAATAAATGAAAACAAAAATACATTTGTAAATATTCTTTAACATACTGTGTGGAAAAAATATGATTGAGAACAATCCATGACACTGAAAGTGTAAATGATGGAAATAAAATCTAACTTTTGTTGACATGTTATAAGAATGTCTAATCTGTAATTTGATGTCTTTTGAAGATTTTTCCATCTTTCCTTGGCTTCTTTATGCACATTTATACAAATTTTTAGCTGGGGTGCCCAAACTTTCGATCCCCACTGTATATATGCTGCATGTTGAAATATGGTTTTATTACAAAATATATTAAATATATTTTAAAAAATACATTTAAAATATACTGTGTGTCTTTAAAAATACAAATCTACATTTTTGGAATGCATTTACAAATATGTGTAAAAATATATGTTAACCCCTTGGCCCCAGCGCCTCCAGGCCCTTTAAGGGTTTCAGAAGCGGGCAGGCGGGGCTGGGTTTTAGGGTCATGTGATTGCCGTGATTCACTGTCACGGTGGTCACATGATTGGGAAAGGTCCAGATCAAAAGAGGAGATCGAGACCTTTCTGTGAGTACCGGATATGTGTGCTGCGAGCACTCAGGGCGCACGTTCTCAGCACCTATGTTTTTCTTAATTGCACACAAATGTGCGGGCCGCTCTGGGTCAAGACCCAGACGCTGGGAAGCCGCACATTTGCGTGTGACCGGCGCAAAGAGGTTAAAATTACTTTTTTATATGTTAAAAAAAATCTGAAGAATATATTTAAAAAATATATATTAAAAAAAATATTGTAATATTTGTATTTTTAAAGACATACAGTATATTTGAAATGTATTTTTAAAAATACTTTTCATATGTTTTATAATAAAAACGCATTTCAACATGCAGTATATATATATATTTATTGAAATATATTGAATATGGCCAAAATTGTGGTATTTCAATTATATGGCAATATATTTGGAAAGGATATTTTTAAAATATATTTCAAATATATTTTTCTTCCATGTGGGTTAAATTCCCCTTTTCCCTTAGTATAATCCTGTAAAATAATTTAATAAAATAACATATGTATCAAAAGCAGCCAAATGCTCTACTAATTTTTTGTCTACATGAGAGACTCTCCCTCATGTCCTGCCCCAGAGGATGACTTTTGGGAGTTTGCTTTGATTGCTGGATAAGCATGACAGCCAGGCAATCAGTTAAAAAAAAAAAAGCAAAAAGCTCAGCAGAGAGAGGTCAACAACGTCAATTTACATATTTTCTCACACACCTTTGTTATCCTCAAAAAATAAAATAAAATTGCTATTATTGTATTCCAGGAAAAGTGTTACTAAACCCACAATGGTAAAATCAGTCTGTATATGCAGTAAAGCATGCTTGCTATACTCACTTTGGAACCTAAGGGGTTAATCCTCTGTATTGTGTAAAAAGTC